TTGTTGACGATTAGAGCTCTCGGAGTCATCTATGGAGACATTGGAACCAGTGTTCTGTGAGGAAACAGTCTCTGTGCTCATTTGTTCATATGACTTCCAGTTATGTCTTGAGCACTCTGTTCTCGAACGGTCAACCCGCAGAAGACGATGTCTTTGGAGGTATGTTACCCCTTTCAGCTCAACATGGCCTGATGAGAGTGCAGGTCTGAGTCTCATTCTATGGAGTCTCATCTTGTTGGTCACCTTCAAATACGTTCTCTTCATCTTGACCGCCGACAACCACGGAGAGGGAGGCACGTTCGCCCTGACAGGACTTTTAATGAGAAGATCGTCCACCACCCCAAAGTGAGTTGAACACATCCGTCTCTTCATCTCACCACCTACAGGTGGTTGGTCTTACCCGTCTTGATCTTTTCCATCATCGGTGCCTCATTCACCATCGCAGACGGAGCCTTGACACCGGCTGTATCTGTTCTGTCCGCTATAGAAGGTGCAAATCATCACACCCCGAGATGGTCTCTCATCATCCTCTGTAGGAATCGCCGTGTTCGCCGATGGAGTCACAGAGGCAATCATCCCCATCACCTTGGTCATCTTGGTCATCTTCTTTATCCTTCAGAGGTCATTCTTTTCCATCACCAATCACACATCACATCCGATCCATCTCTTCGGATCACCTCCGTCTTTCACATCATCTTCATCTCTTCTTCTAGACGTCTCATCTTCCTCACATCATCTTCACCTCTTCTTCCAGATCTCATCTTCCTCACATCATCTCATCTCGAACAGATTTGGAACATCTAAGATCGGTATCGCCTTCGGTCCCATCATGCTCGTGTGGTTCGCCACCATCGCAACCCTCGGTATCTATCGCATCATCGGCCGCCCCGACATCTTCAAATGTTTCAACCCGTGGTATGCCATACGCTCTCTCTTCACCAACGGCTGGGACGGTTTCGCACAATTGGGAACTGTCTTCTTAGCCGTGACCGGATTAGGTGAGCGTCGTGATGATGTCCATCACGATGTCCATCGCGATGTCCATGGACGATCTTCTGATGACGAGACAGAGGCCCTCTATGCTGACCTCGGACACTTTGGAAGGCTACCGATCCGTCTGTCTTGGTTGTTCGTCGTCATGCCTTGCCTGATGCTGAACTATCTCGGTCAGGGTGCTCTATTATTAGAACACCCCGACCTCTATGGAAACCCTTTCTACTACATGGCACCCAGTTGGTTCCAGTGGCCTCTATTAGTCATCGCCACCTTAGCCACCATCATCGCATCCCAAGGTACATATTTTGAATTTCTTCCATCTACAACGTTGTAGATTGACTCTTCCAGCTCTCGTCTCGGGATCTTTCTCTCTCATTTCGGCTGCGATTGCCATGGGTTTCTGTCCTCCCCTACACATCCACCACACTTCTAAGAGAGTGTTGGGACAAATCTACATCGCCGAAATCAACTACCTCCTTCTCATCCTCACCATAGCCATCGTCCTCGGTTTCAAACATTCCGTCAACATCACCCAAGCGTACGGCGTGACGGTGAAATTTCATCGAATTTCGAATTTTCATTGACTTTCGCAGGTCTGCACGGTCATGTTACTCACTTCTCTCGCTTTCATCTTAGTCATGAGATATTCCTGGAAATTTCCCCTGTGGAGGGTCTTACCTTTCTGCTTCTTCCTCTTATTAGACGGTCTCTTCATCGTTGCCGTGTATACCAAGGTGCCCAACGGAGGATGGGTGTCGCTCATGATCGGTGCCATCATCTCTGTCCTCTTGTTGTCTTGGATGGCAGGACAGAGGTCTCTCCACCGATGGACTCAGAACATTCGCGTCATGGACGTGAAGACGTTGGAAAACCTCCTGAACGAGCCCACTACAACGCGCCAGATCGTGGTGAGTCCGCAAAAATTTATGCTTTGAAAATCGGAGGAAATTTCGGAAGAACGGAAGATTGATTGTGGGTAGAGGGGAGAGGTAGCAGAGAGACTTTCAGCCGAGGCGAGGAGAAGCTCTGGCCTCATGAGATCAGAGACCGTTGTAGACGGACGCAACGAGACCGAGATGGTCGTCCTCCAAATGGATACACCGGTGCGTTTCATTGGATTGAGACGCCAGAGCTGAACGTGTGCAGGAGGTGAGGAGGATCTCTCTGGGGAGCTTTCCCTTCCAACACATCAATCGTGTTCCTGGAATGGGGGTATTTTTAGCCACACCCAATTCGAAGGCTGATATTCCACTCGTGTTGGAACTCTTGGTAGAGAGGCTGCCCGCTCTGCCCGATGTGGGTGAGTGAAATTTCGTCCAGATTTCACGTGATGACGTCATCAGTCGTCATCCTCAAGGTGGAGACGAAGAAGGTACCCTTCGTTACCTCGGCCAGTCGCATCACGGTGAAACCTCTGGCGAGGGGAGTGTACAGTATGACGGTCAGATTCGGATATTCCGAGAGCAAGATGAATGTCATGCCCGTCATCCACTTGGCTCAGGCTTCCCACGGCCTCCCGGAGGTGAAGCGTAACTTACGTACCTACGTCTGACCCACGCAGGCCGCCCCGGTGACCTTCTTCTTGGATGCATTCGAGATCCACGTTCACTTGAAGAAGAATATCAAGTCCGTCCTGCGTTGGGCACCCAACACTCTCTTCAGTTTGGAGAATCGAATCTTTCCTGGTCACAGGAGAAACATCCACATCCCCATGGATCACTCTCTCGAGATCAAGACGGCCGCTCACCTCGAATAGAGGCATCTGGTCGAATAAACATCGTCATCAATACTGTCTATGTCTCTGTGTATGGGGATGTATCTCGTTTCGTCATCGGGTGATTTTTTTACATCATTTAGAATCAGGTGTCGCATGTGATTCACAATCGTCATCATCAATGAGGAGTCGAGGCCGTCCTTTTATTCCATCTCTACTGTTCATCTTGGACTGCCTCCTCTTCTCACGTGTTCCTCGTCGTGTGTTGTGTGGGGCTGAAGAAGTTGCTGGTGGCCACGTCCGCGTTCTCGTTCTTCAACAGACACCTCCTGAGTGACTGTCTATACTTCTCTGTGAACCCGTGCTTGTCCAAATAGCTCTCGATCGTTCCATATTCTTCCCTCACGTATCTCAGTGTCTGTCTCATCACCTGATCTTCATCAGTACGAAGAGATTTAAAATGACAATATAAATGATTTTAATCTCTCACCTCCCACGGTGCATCTGAAAACTCTGAAGAGAGACCGTTCTTCCTCATCTCTTCCACCATCGTCTCTCGTTGTAGATCGAGACCCTTCTGTGATCGATGGTAGTCCATGATGATGTGCTCGTCCGACGCTCCACACACGGCCAGAGCGAAGGCTATCTTTCCGTGAATCTTCCATCTACAACCCGCCACGATGACTCACCACACACGAGGCCCGTTCTGTCTTTTCCCTGGGTGCAGTGTACCAATAGGGGATAATTGTCTTTGACGCTCATGACCTTGAGTGCTTCACAGATCTCCATGCCGCAGAAGTCGATGAAGTCTCGATTCAAACCGAAGAGTCCATAAGGTTCAATGATGGTCTTACCAACGATCTGAACGGCTTCTTGTTTCACCCCGCGAACCATGGCAGAGACGACCTATTGGAGGTGAGAATAAAATGATATAAAAGGTGTCACCTTGAATTTGTTCTTGAAAGAGAGGGGTCGCCACGCGGAGTTGATTCTATAGTTGGTGCCCGCGAAGTTGATGTGATACGTGGACCTCTTTGCTGCTCCTTGGTCGTTGGGTAGAGTTAGAACCTGAGAGAGGGTCACACTGTGTCGAATTCGATCTACAGCGTTGTAGATACCTCTTTCTTCGTGGATATTCTGTGCTGTTTTTTGGGCTGGGGGGCGAGGCCATGAGCAGCCATCTTGGCCATGTTGCCGTCGAAGACGGTCGTGGGGAAGAACGGAGTGTGATGACCGTCGCTGCCTTCGGTTTCCGCTCGAAGATCGATGACGCTGCGGATGTCGTACTTTTTCAGAAGCAACTCGACGTCTCTCGTCGTGGCATCGTCTAAACGGCCCGAACGAAAGAAGATCTTCTCGTGAAGAACACTGACATGTCGGTCAGATGTGGAAGGATGATAATGGATGATGACAACGGCCATTATGTTGGACTCACTCTTTGCCACTGTCTTTGTTGTAATTTAACCCAACGTCTCGAAAATTGACGATGTTCTGAAAGATTTCGGCTGCAGGTCGATCTTCGGGCCTGAGAAAGAGCTCAGGTAGCTCTCCACTCTCGTTCTCTTGAACATCTTCGGGCCTTGTTGATGCCGTCAGACATACACTCGTTCTGTGCCGTAACTGATGTGACCATATCAGCTCTGAATGGAGGGGGGTGAGACGAAGAACATCTCGACTCACGTTCTTTCGATCGGCCTCTCTGTATGATAGATGGACCCTCGAGCTGATGTCCGGGGCGGGTGAAGATGCTGTGGAAGAAGCCTCAGAGTCTGAAACTTGAGTACCTGGAGATCTCGGTGTACAGATGGACGTCTCAGTCGAAGAGTCTGATTCATCCAGTTGGGGGTCACGATTTCGATTCAAGATTCGATCTCTCAGACTTCTCGGTGTGCCAAACGATTTCTTCGTTCTAGCACTCGAGCGCAGCTGAACTGGCGTGCTGCTGATGGATGATGCCATTCGTGATTTCTCAAATTGTGTTGTCTGATTCAGACCTTTCAATTTTCTTTCTTGTCTCGTCGTCACTCACGTCGTATAGAATCGGGCGTGATGTCGTCAGGTGCGATGTGTTAGTAATGATGATGCTTCTGTGAAGAAAATCTCCGAAACCCTAAAGAAAATTCAGCCCAGGCTCAAAATTCCGCAATTCCGAACCATCAGCCCTGAGCCACACTTCCACACCTCCTCCATTGTATCGGTCTCTCATATATTGTGGTCTTAAACACATTATAGACTGTATGTAGAGATGCTGAGTTGGCAACACGTATTGGGACATCCGGCAGCAAACCAAGCATTCGTGGTCTAATGGTATGATGTCTGCCTTCCATTCAACCGATGATAGCAGGCGAACCGGGTTCGATTCCCGGCGGATGCACTCCCTTTTGCCGTGCAACACTATTATTCAGCGTGCAGGTCACTCACCACGCCGATGCAAAGGTAAAACGTTCTCCCTTTGAGGGATCTGACGATGAACCGTCTGGTGTATCGATGTGAGATATCCAGCAAAAAGAGGCCATACCCGGATTTGAACCGGGGTTTCAAGGATCAGAACCTCGCGTGCTGACCGCTACACTATACGGCCTTGGTGTCTCCCACTTTCACACGCGATGCATGGATGTGTTCGAAAATAAAATTTATCATCATAAGACCAGGAAGTGTCTCTCAATATGGTCGCCCATCGTGACGAATGGGTTGTTTCCGGTACTGCCCTGGTCCAGATTCTGAACCACCACCAAGATCGCAAACTGAGATTCCACTTGATGACGAACGAATGTCTTCTCTCTTTATCTCAATTCTTGATGGGAGCCGCGGCGTTGATGACCTTCGAGGGAGGCTTGGCTAAGTTGAACTTTCTGACTTGATCTTCGGTCATGTGTCTCCTGCTCTCGATCTCCTCCAATTTCTGTGGCTGTCCTGTCTCTAATGCCCTCTTCACCGCGACGATGACTCGTACGTCTCTCCAGCCTGTTCCCGCCTTCAGAATCGGCTCGTTGTAGATGGAATCTTCTCCAATATTTCTCACCTTCGTATCCGTCTGGCTCTGGGGTCTTTCCTCTATGATGCATTTAGAGAAGTAGTCTGTCTGTCCTCCAAAGTGATCTACAACGGGACCCTTGTGAGTCTCCGTCTTACCATCGATCGTAGAGGTGTACGAGATCTACGGTTGTTCAACGAAATTTCATCCAATTTTCACGTGCAATTCGATGAAATTTCGTGGACATCTCTCTCACCCCTACGCCGGGACCGTACACGAAGCAAGGGTCAACGTTGAATTCTCCTTGCGTTCCCACGACGGTGTATCGGTTGACCAGAGTGGCCGAATAGCTGACGAGAAAGTGAGCCACCCTCTCGTTTGGAAACTTTAGAGTGACTGAAACGGTGTCGTGAAAGTTGAAGTCTTTGGTTGGCGTCTTCGTGCCGACGGCGAAGACTTCGATGGGCTCCATTCCGAAGATGGTGCGGCAGGCGTTGATGGGGTAAGTTCCCATGTCAGGGACTGGTCCGGCGTGGTAGCCGTTCTGAGAAGAATGAGGAGGTGATGAGATGATGAGATGAAGAGAAGGCGATGAAGCAGATGATGAGATGATGATTAGATGGTGACGGTGATGCAACGACGATGAGTGAGGACGAATGCGAACATGATGAGAAGATGATCGTGTGACGGTGGACGGGTAGAGATGGATGATGATGGGAGATGATGAACACCTTGGCTCTGTGGTTCTTCTCATCGAGAGGAATGACGAAAGTAGAGTTGAACATCCTGGGATCACCGATGTCTCCTCTTCTCACGCGGTTGACGATCTCAACGGTCGAGGGCTCGCAGTGGAGTCGGTAGGCGATCATGAGCTTGGCGCCAGACTTCTCGGCGGCGGCGTTGATCGCCTTGCAATCGTCCTCGGTGACCTCCATGGGCTTCTCCAATAAGACGTGGAATCTATCGTCGTCTATCAGAACAGCTGCTCGATGTGAAATCACACGTGTGGATTGGATGTGGGTGTCGTATGATTCGATTCGTCAGATGATTCACCCGGCCAAGAGAGCTGGCTCTGCGAATTGGCGATGCATCCAGTTGGGAGTGGCGATGTAGAGGGCATCGAAGGTGTCTTCCTTCAGTGCCTGATCGAACTCTTCGTAAGAGTAATACTTGAGACCTCCGTATAATTTCGAGAGCTCTGATTATCCATCAGATACATTCAAAAGGATGACGAATGGTTCGAATCACCTCTTCCCTTCTCAGGGTCGCTCGTGATGATGGCAGTGATGGAAGAGTTGGTCGTCTGTCCGACTCCAGGCATCCAAGCTTCTTGAGAGATAGACCCTGCGGCCACGACTGCGTAGCGTACTTTGTTTCCCTCTGCGACTATCTTTGCTGGCATGTTGTTGATTCTGAAACGGGGTAAGATGACTGAAGGTGAGGTGGTAGAGAGATCACCTGATGGTGTCGTTTATTGGGTTCGTGAGATTGTGTTGTTGCAAGCCGTGCGGCGAGGCAAAGGCAGCGAAATTTCAGTCACGTGACGCAGCGTCATCAACCTCTTTACTCGTGATGAAAGAAGAGGATGTGAAAGCAAATGGTGTATCTGTGGGTCGTGTTGCATGTTGAAGACGATGGGGTTTTAGAAAATTGACGTTATTGAAAATAGAGATCGATTACAACTCGCCTGGCACATTTGGGCCCGGAGACGATCATCATCATGGATGTCTCACCGATCCATCGTATAGAAGGTGACATATCCTTCAAATAACGCTCATCTTAATTTCGAACGTCTTCACGCTGACCATTGGACAGTCGAAGTTCGTGTTCGGACGGAAGACAACACCCGTAAAGAACTCACCCGTTTCAATGTACAGACATATCTCCTCTCTAATACGATTGTCATCCGCACGAACTCGGTAGTTGAATGTCCCGTACCTTCTAGCATGACAGAAGTCTCTTCCATTCGGATCTATCACTCCTCAAACATTCACAGTGAGAAACATCTTTATCTCGTCGTCAATCATCTAAAGAGATTTGCAGTGCAATCGAAGACATGTCACTTGAATCAAGTCTTGAGCGGCGATCCACATCAACTTCCCATCTACGTCTATTTCCTGCATCGTGATGAGGGGGAATTCACCATGGACACCGATGACAATGAGACGACGGGAGGAACACAGACCGTCTTACCCTCCGAGACGTTAGACACCCTGTGGGAGAGGTAATGAGATCACATTGCGGTAGATGTTCGGCCGATGAACACAAACAGTCTGTACTATGGGGAGGCCATGAAAGAGAATCTACTCAATTACAGTAGAATGATTCAACACTTGGCTAGAGCCAAGGTCAATCCAAACATCATCTCCTTCAACAAGTGAGGGAGACCATCACGCAGCCAAACTCATGCATTCAGAGTCGTATTATTACACGGACCGCCGGGAACAGGAAAGACAAGGTGAAGAACTCTCATCATCTCATCACCCTCGTACCTGAAAGATCACCATCGACATCATGTCAACACGATCTCATCTCCATCACATCATCTAAACTCGAAATCCAGTCTGTGCAAGGCCTTGACCCAGAAATTATCCATCCAATCTCTCCAATACAAACACCACTTCCTCATCGAAGTGAACAGCCACTCTCTCTTCTCCAAATGGTTCTCTGAATCAGGAAAGAAGGTCATGCAGCTGTTCAACAACGTGAAACAATATTTAGAGGACGATGAGACATTTGTCTACGTGCTGATCGGTGAGTCATGTGATGATGAGGCACGAAAGATTGAACCGTTGTAGATGAAGTGGAGAGTCTGTCTGCGGCAAGGAAGGCGGCCGTGTCTGGCAACGAGCCCAGTGATTCGATCAGAGTGGGTTTCATTCAAATGAAACAGTCACGTGACTCTGACAGGTAGTCAACGCCCTGTTGACTCAGCTCGATTCACTGAAATATTTCAAGAACGTTATGGTATTGTGTACATCCAATATCACGGGGGCGATCGGTGAGATTTATTCTACTTTATTTTATTTCATTCATTTATGATGGCTGATGGAGTCAGACGTGGCGTTTGTAGATCGAGCTGACGTCAAGATGTTTGTGGATAATCCGGCAGCACCTGTCATCTATGATATCTTATCTTCGTGCATCGTACATCTCGTCCAAGTCGGTATCATCCTCTCCACAAGACAGGTGTGTCATCATCATCATCATCATCATCATCATCATCATCATCATCATCATCATCATCAATACCATCAACTTCATCTTTGACATCATCATCATCTCCAACGTCATCAGCATCTTACGATGATCATCGTCTCCACATGACATCATCGATCATCCGTCACGATCATCCGTATATAATGCATAAACCCTAATCCCACTCAGATCGAACTGTACGATGTCCACGAAGTGAAAACTGGAACCGTCCGTGTCGACGTGCCCAGCTCCGTCATCAGCTTCCGTCTATACGAAATTTCCAAGAGATGTTCTCAAATGAAAGTCAGCGCCAGATCTCTGAGAAAACTCCCACTCAATGTCATGGCCAACAGCAATCTGACGGTGAACTCGTCATCTACAACGTTGTAGATGAACGTCTGTTGACGTCGTACCTCGCAGGTGTTTGATGGAGTGGAGACGTTCGTGGTACATTTGGGAGTCGTTGTAGAGAGGGAAATATCATCAAATGAAGCGTTGAGATCCTCGCATGAGAATAAAACAAAGTAAAAATTTTTCCTTTGTATCGGTCATGCGGTCCACTTGGAGAAGATGAATGTAAATCAAGAACATTCACAACGGGTCATCTGTACCTCATGTTTCAATGCTTTCACACCTCTTGTCGTCCTTGTCATCTGTCATGGGTCTGCTCCATCTTGACGTTCGACAGACGTGAATTGGATGTGGGTGTGTATTTGTGAAGATCCACCGGAGAGGATGATTGTGATTTCACAACAAATCTCGTGATGATGCGAACCGTGCCACTATTCGGCACATCACCATGAAATGTCGCATCGTGAGGAGAATTTATCTGCGCGATGGTGATGTGTTGCGAGGAGGTTGATCCAACAGCATCGAACATAAGTCGAGACGATAGCTACGAGCAACAACAGAAACAGCGAAAAGAAGATGGGTCTCTTCGAACAGTCGCTATTAGGTGGTGAAGATCTTCACCTGTCACCCTCTGAGAAGGAAAACATTCTGCGTAAGATCAACAATCAGTGAGTGCAAAGATCTTGATCTCATCACTCCGCGTGCTGATTCGACTCAGATGGAAAGGAGCGAAGTTGGTGATGCCCTTCTTTATGCTTGTCTCCGCTTGTTGCGGAATCGGATTGATCCTGGCAGCCATCATCCTCAAGGACACCAGTCTCTTGATCTACCTTCCCGCAGCTGTCCTCGGT